TGGTGCCCAAACACGGTCCCTGGCTGCCACCTGCAGTGTGACTTTGAATGGACGGGTGTGGGGACAGCCTTGGCTCATCCTGTTCTCAGGGTTTGGAGACAGCCTTGGAGAGTCTGATCTCAGGGTATTGGGACAACCTTGGGTGGTTCTGATCTTGGGGTGCGAGGACAGCTTTGGCTCATCCTGATCTCAGAGTGCTGGGACAGCTTAGGCTTGTCCTGATCTTGGGGTGCAGGAACAGCCTTGGCTAATCCTGATCTCAGGGTGTGGGGACAGCCTAGGTTCGTCCTGATCTCAGGATACAGGAACAGCCTTGGCTCGTCCTGATCTTGGGGTGCGGGGACAGCCTTGGCGCGTCCTGATCTTGGGGTGTGGGGACAGCCTTGGTGCGTCCTGATCTTGGGATGCGGGGACAGCCTTGTCTCGCCCTGACCTCAGGGTGCTGGGGCAGCCTTGGCTTGTCCTGATCTTGGGATGTGGGGCCCATTTTCGCTCGTTCTGATCTCAGGGTGTGAGAACTTTGGTTCGCCCTGATGTTGGGGTGTGGGGACAACCTTGGCTCGTCCTGATCTCGGGGTAGGGGAGAGCCTCGACTTGCCCTGATCTCAGGGTGTGGGGGCAGCCTTGGATCGTCCTGATCTCAGGGGAGCTTTCAGCATTGCACCATGAAATCTCGTGTTACCTGTGGGTTTTTGTAGATGTCCTTTCCTGCTGGAGAATGTTCTCTTCTTTCTAGGACGTTGAGTGTTTTTACCATGAGAGGGTGCTGGGTTTTGTCAAATGCTTCTTCTGTGTCTACTGACAAGTCTTTAATTTGGAACTGTTTGTTAGCTTTTCTTTGTCCTTCCTAACAGTGACAGCTTTGGAGTCTAGTGGGTCACTTGTGTGTGCTTGTGGTGACTTTCGACAGGAACACCACGGAGGACGCTACAGAATGTCAGTCGTCCCACCCTGGCGAAGTTAACTCGACTACCTGGTTAAGTCAGTGTCTACCAGATTTATCCATCATGAGTGACTACTTTTTCCTTTTCTTTTTTTTTTTTTTTTTGAGTTGGAGTCTCACTCGGTCGCCCAGACTGGAGTGCAGAGGCCGCTCCCGGCCACCGCAGCCTCGACCTGCTGGGCTCCGGCGATCCTTCCGCCTCAGCCTTCCAAGTAGCTGGAACTACAGGCACGCACTACCACGCCCGGCTAATAATTTTTTGATTTGTTGTAGAGATGAGGTCTCGCCAAGTTGCCCAGGCAGGTCTCGAACCCGTGGGCTCAGGCAATCCACTCACCTCAGCCTCCCAAAGGTGCGGGATTACAGGCTGAGACACCGAGCCCAGCTAATTTTTCCCCTTTCTAATCAGTGTCTTCATGAGTAAGTAATTTGTGAAGTGCTACTTTGGGCCTGTAACATTTTGTCAATGTCTTATCAATGTCTCACCCAATACGTCGAACGTCCTTGTTTCCGCTGTTGTGGCGTGTGCTGATTGGTGTTTTCTGACGCCTTCTAATTCCTACTTGTATTAGCTGGTGGACGACTTCTATTTGAAATCACTTGCTAGACATCTGGGTGGGCATGGTGAGTGGGAACGCTGGAGGTCGGGGAAGATGCGGGTCATGGATGCAGACATGGACTTGACTGTCTCCAGAAAGTTAAAGCCATAAGATAGCTGAGGGTCCCCAAGGACCCATGTCCCCTGTTAGCCACACTGGCTTCACTGGGCGTGGGCTCTGCTGACACATTTTGGAGCTAAACCCTGGACCATGAGAGGACCATGGCTCCATGGAGGCTGGGACTGGGCGCCCTGTTTATAGGAGGCGGGGTTCTGTGGCAGGAAATGTCTTACTCCCTGTAAAGATGGTCCTTGTTAAAGCCTTACTTCTGAACTTGGCATTCAAGGCCTGTCGGGCTCTGCCACCTTCTCAAGCAGCAGCACAGCCTCACATCTCTGCCTCTGTGCTCACTTTGCCTTTCACTGCCACAGCTTGGAGAACGCTGTGCATCCTTCAAAACCCAGCTCTAATATTGCTTACTCTTTGAGGTACCTCATCCCAGAGTCCTTTTATTAGGAAACAGTTCCTTAGGCGCTACTCTGTGCCAGGCCCTGGGACCTGGCGAAAAGACTCAATTCCTGTCTCAGGAGCCTGCCATCTTCTGGGCAGAGACAGATGTTTACGTATAATCGCACAGGAAAAGGTTTCCTCACGCCAGTGACAGCAACAAAGAAAAGTAACGTGTGCTAGAAGTGTAGAACAGGGGCTGGTGCCGGCCCGGCCAGTCCGGTGGCCTGGAGGACTTCCCTGAGGAGAGGCCAACTGACCCGAGAGGAGGAGCAGGCGCTGCCTGCGGTGCTGGGAGGCCGGGGTGCTGGAGCCAGGCCCCACGGAGCGAGGGCAGAGCGCAGGGCGGGGCTCCCCCCGGACGGGTGGATGGGGCCTCCTAGGCCGAGGTGAGGGGGCAGTGAGCAGGCTGAGAGGGTTCCAGCAGCCTGACAGGCGTTCTGAAGAGCCCCGGGGCGGCCATACGGAAGGGCGGGGGGATGGAGGAGACCCCGCTGGCCCCGCAGCTCAGCCTCCATTCAGACGCACAGGAGACACGACTGCAACCTCGCTCCGCTGCTGTGGGGGTAACCCTGTCCCAGCAGGTCTGTCCTCCACAGCGCTGGCCCACGTGGGCTCCATGTGGTCCTTGGCCCTCGGGCCCTGGCGGCAATGGCTTCGTCCTGCTGTCCGCCCGTAAGGCCTCTGGGCCGGTGCTGCTCCTGGCACTGGTTGGGCCTCTTCTGTGCCCTCCAGGCCATGGGGTGGGGACGTGCAAGACCATGAGCGCCGGAACCTGCGCAGCTTCGGATCCAGGAGGAGGCCTGAGACCCGTGGGGGGCCTGCAGACTCCGTCCCGTGCCTCCGCCCTGGCCACCTGCAGCCTCCAGGAGGGTGCTTCCTGTCCACCACTGTCCCGATCCTGTTCCCTCAGGACGAGGCTTTGGAAAGGCCAGAGCTGAGGACTTTTCCTCGCTTCCCTGGAAGCGGCTGTCAGCCTTTCCCTGAAGTGACAGTGCCTCCCTGATGGAACAGGAGGGCACAGGAGGCGGGACAGTTGTATTTTTTTTTTTTGAGTTGGAGTCTCACTCAGTCACCCAGACTGGAGTGCAGTGGCCGCTCCTGGCCACCGCAGCCTCGCCTGTGGGCATTCAAGTAGCCGACAGTTGTATTTTTGTCCCAACCATTTCATCTGAATCCGGTCATGAGAACAGAGATACACCCAAATCACGTGACATTCTATAAGGTGCTTGGATACATCAAAAATGTCAACATCTTGACAACACAAAAAAGGTTGAGGAAGTCTTTTTGATTCGGATAGACTAGAGAGACGGGGAACTGAATGCAGTGACCAGTCCTCAGGGGGATCCTGGGTGTTAAAGAGCCCGAGAGACAGTCCTGGGGCAGCTGGAGCATGGACTGTGCTTCAGGCAACATCAGTGCTGGGCATCGCATGCCCTCCTGGCGAGGCAGTTGCTCCCTGGAATATTCTCGCGAAGTTGAGGGTGAAAATGGCATGTGGTCACACAGGGCTGTCCTTACTCTTAGGAGTTGCCCGACGTGTTCTGGAGAGAAATACCACAGCACACGCCACCGACATTCAAATGGTTTGGGGCAGCTGCATGCATGAGTATCCAAGAGGCGTAACGCGAGTCAGGCGAGCAGCTGGCGGCTGGAAACCCTGGCCAACAGACACGTGGTGTCCCTCATACTGCTGCACCAGCTCAGGCAGAGGAGCACCTCCATGCTGTGCCAGGAGGGTGGGGAGGGCCCAGATTCTGCTCGACACCCCACCTGCCTCTGCAGGACCCTTCCTGGGAGGTCCCTCCTCCGCACAGCAGAAACAGGCTCTGCAGGGCCAGGGTCCACACCTGGTTCCCAGGGCCTCTGGGGCAGAGCTGAGCTGTTAGCAAGGGTGGCTCTTGTGCTCCCTGCATTCACCCACATTTCTGGGTGTCTGGATCACAGCCGACGTGACTTCACTTACCCTTCAAGTCACTTCAAGTCGCTCTCAGCTAGACCTCAGGGCAGGAGAGGTACAAGGAAGGTGCCAGCCCCGGGAGTTAATCAGAGCTACCTGTGGTCACCGGCACGCTCAGTTGACACTAACAGAGGTGTCCTGGGATTCAAGCACCAGGGCTGCTCCAAGCATAGGGGTCCGGCCACATGGTGGGGTGGGCCTGTGGGGCCCAACTCCTGAGAAGGCAGGGCCCAAGCATCCCCTCAGGCCCGCAGGCACGGGCACCTGGCTGGGTCGGGCCAAGGGAGGGGATGGTGTGTCGGCTCAGAGCCTGGCCCTAGAACTGAGAGGCACGCTCCTGCCATGGGGGCTGGGATCTCCTGTTCCTTCTGCCTGGGAAGCCCTTGCCCTGGCTGCCGCCCCGGCACGCCATCCCCACCCACTTGCAGGCTGGCTCCTGATCACTGTTTGGTTGCTGCCTCTTCCTCTACCTTCTGTGGTGAACCTGAACTCGACTGTGCCATGCTTACCATCTTCCTCACCAGATGGAGGCTCTGCTAGCATCTGCCAGGCCACACCTGGGCCTCCAGCCCGCTCAGTAGATGCATTCAATGCATGCAGCTACTGAGGCAGAAGCAGCTGTGGAGGACACTGAGCGTCCCACCCAGGAGGCTGCGTGGTCAGTCTGGGTCTTGGAGGGCAGGAATGCCGCTAGGCTGGCCTCTGCTGGCCTATCCTGGCTCCCGGCTCCCAAGCATTTACTTCTCCCAGAAGTGGCGAGACCAACAAGGCACACTTGCTTTCCAGATGAGGCAGCAGGCAGTTTTTGTGCCCACAGAGCAGGATCACAGAGCAGGATGCAGCAGAGCTGGGATCACGGCCTGCACTCATGTCAGCCTGTCTCCAGAGCGCGGCCTCTCATGAAGGGGTCTGGAGTGGTCTCCGGGGGTGTCGTGCCCACCCTCCTTACCCCCACCTGGCTCACCGCTGCAGTAACACCATGAGCCCTTGGTACACGTCACCTCATTTATTCTCACAACATGCCTGTGAGGTAGGGAGGGGCAGGGACTGTCCCCATTTTACAGAGGAGGAAGTTGAGGCACACAGAGGTCAAGTGACTTGCCCAAGGTCACAGACAGCGGCCAAGCTGGAATGGGCCCAGAGCAGGCCCTGGTTCACCTGGGGGGGCTCCGCCTGCAGCAAGCGCCGGACAAGAGGACATCTCCAATGCCACCAAGTCGTATACACAGTATAGAGCAGCCCCTCACGGACTGAGCTCACTGCCGGGCCAGCCCTCGCCCTGCCCTCCCCCACCCCACCCTGCAGGCCCAGGCCATTGCAGCTCAGGGCTCATGACACCCTGGGGGTGGGGAAGGGGGCAGGAGAGAGAAAGAGGAGGATGACTGGGGTGAAAAAAAAGTAGAACAGAAAACTCAGAGACTGGGCAGATGGGCCCCTGGGGGCGGGGGAGACCAACAAAAAGAGGGCTGCTTACACACAAGGTATATATTTTTACACACACTTGTACACACACCTAGATATAGTACATGTAAAAATATATGCTATTCACACACCCGCCTCCTGCCAGGTGCCCCGAGAGCCAGCGGTGGCGCTGGTGGGCATGGGTGAGCAGATGGCGTTGGTTAAATATACACTCTAAGGTCTATGTGCATATGTACACATACATACAGACCCCACCGCCCGCCCTCGGGACTGTACACAGGCGTGGCTGAGGACAGAACCCTAGAAAATGGGGTCCTTCTCCCGAGTGCCCCTGGAAGCCACTCTGAGGCCTAGGTTTTGCTGCAGGAAGAAAGGGGTGGAGAGAAAAAAAAGGCGGGAGTCTGGAGGGTGGTAACTGTGGCTTTGTCTCATTTCCCCCTCAAAACTACAACCTTCCTCATCTGCTCAGAGGCAAGTCCTGCCTGGCACTGCCCAGGGCTGGCGGTGGCAGTGGCGGGGCTGCTCCTGTGAGGAGCCTCCGTCTGCGTGAGTGTGAGTGTGCGCACGAGACTGTGTGTGAGCCTGGGGTGGGGGTGCGTGTCCATCTCTCTGTCCCTGGGCCCTCAACTGCAGAAGGGGCTGAGACCCAGAAAGCCGCTCGCCATGACGGTGACCACTGTGTGAGCTCTGAAGGGAAAAGAGAAAAACGCAAGAATGAAAACTCCAAGGTCAGAGCAGGAGTAGCCGGGAAAAGAGGAAGGACATGGCAGGTGCCCAAGACTGCCCTGGGACGGTCATCATCTTGTAAACAAGCTAGCTGAGTTCTCACCAGACAGAACAAGTAAAAAGACCGCGGTCTGGAGGCTGGCCGGGGCTGCCGAGGTCCATCTAGTCCACCACGGCCGCAAGAGGAAAAAAAGGTTTCTAGTTTGTGGTTTTTGTTGACTTTGTGTGTGAAATCTTCATAACCTAAAGCTGGGAGGGACCCAAAAAAGCCAAATTGTGAGCCCTTGTATGCATCAATTTGAAAGTTGGCTCAGGGTCTCTAGACAGAACAACCATACTAAAGGTTGAGAAAGTCCTGTTTCATTTGCACAGAGTTTGTGTGTGTGTGTGTTTTTATGACTTCGAATGGTTTCCTTCCTCCTTGCAGTCTCAGAGCCTGGTCTGGGCCTCCGGGACATAAATCTCGATGCTGTCTGCGCTCTCCGTGGCCGAGTTCTGCCGCACGGACGCTGCCCGCTTGGCTGCCAGGAGTCTCTTGCGGGCCTCCTGCCGCTGCTTGTCCCCGGCGTCCGAGGTCTTGTCGCGGCTCACTGCCGGCTTGGATTTGGCTGGCTTCTTGGGGACTGGAGGGGGTGGTTTCTTCTCTTCCTTTAGTGAGACAGTGAGGAGGGAGGCAAAATAAAATAAAGGTGCCACATTTTGTGTGGCGCTGCTCCCATTAGGTGCCAGCAGCCGGGCTCCACCCCAGCCTCCCGCGCCGGGCACAAGCAACACACAGTTGGAATCAGGAAGCCACAGAAGCAATGATAGTGGGAAGAGCACAAGGCAGAGGAGCGAAAAGCAAGCTTAGAGTCCTGATACATTCTAGGGAAAGGACAGACCGACCACTGCTCCCACCCTTGACTTGAACCACTGGGTGCCTGAAGCTCAGGCAGGAACTAGCCAGAGACGGGACTTGAACTGAGGTCTTCTGACTCCAGACCACATTTCTCAGGCTGTTCTAGGGGGTTCGATCCAAGGGCATCATCCAGTAACCAGTAAGTGTCACAGAATTCTACTGGGTGACAGAGGGAGCCTGAGGGAAGAGGCAGAACAGCTCTGACTCTAACGCTCTGGGCAGCATGCTCCAGGGGAAGGGACCTCCTTGCTGCCTCCCGAGTTCCCACAGCCTATGGATTAGTGCTGGAGGCTGTGGGCACCTCTCCCAGGAACTCCCTCTTCTGAACGTGCGGGAAGGACGGCATGCTGTGGGGGCAGCCTCGACTACACTGAGCGAGCAGCATGCTGGACGGCTGCCAAGCATGAACCCCACGCGGTGATGGATGTGAGCCCCCAGCTCAAGACGACACACGGAGAAGGGAGCCAAGCAGCACTGACCGATGTGGGCAGCGTTATTGCCGACCAGGAATTTGTCCCTGGACTTCCCCTCCGCACTGCTCCATGCTCACCTTCCTCTTCTCCGGGGTCTCCACCAGCTGCCAGCTGTTGGCCTTGAGGTGGTAGAGTTCATCGAACTTCATGCTGATGTCCTCGATGGACAGCTGGAGCAGGTCCCAGAACCCTGCCAGGTCCTGGGCTGTTGGACGTGGGTTGGCATCAGGGTTCTGTGGGCCAGATGGGGTCAGTGTGGCTGGCAGGGCAGAGGCTCATCCTGCCCCCGCCCCAAGCATGGTGCCCTAGCCCTGCCCACACTGGGGGGGGGGTGTTGAGGACTAGTCCTGTCCCCTTGTTCCCAGTGTCTGGGTTGGTATCTGTCTGAATTTACAAAGCCAGTTGCTGGTCTTTGCTGGTCTTAATAGTGGAAATTCTTGGGGCCAGGGGATAATCCTGTGATGAGAGGAGGCACTGCACATCCATTGGACTGGAGTTCTTGTCAGGGCCACCACTGTAGGACTATGGGGAGGAAAGCGTTCGTGTCCCTGATGTATGCCAGGCAGAGAACTGTTCCCATTTTGCAGGGAATGAACAGAGGTGCTTGGTCATGGGCTCACAGGAAATGGAGAGAGGCCCAACTCACTCCCAGGTGGGTGTGGCCACAGAATCCATGTTGTTTGCCTCCTGCCATTCTGTGCCATGACAACATGACTCCCCAAGTCCCTGTAGGCCTCTGCTGCCTTCACCCTTGGATATGTAGTCCCTGGATGCAGGGGAGATGCCACAGGATGGGCTGCCGGGACTCCGTTCTGGCTCAGCAGGCAAGGTAAGGCATCATGAGCCACCACGCCTAGCGGGTGTAGTTCTTTAGTTTTTACCTTGAAGGTCTTAGGTATAGAACATATTTCATATAACTAGACCAGGGCTAACTGCCTTTTAGCAGTCATGGGGCTGTTTTCACATGGAGTTCGGTTTTCCATTTAAATGGTGTTAGAGCCAGGCTCAGTGGCTCAGCCTGTAATCCCAGCACTTTGGGAGGCTGAGGCGAGTGGATTGTCTGAGCCCATGGGTTCGAGACCAGCCCGGGCAACTTGGCAATACCTCGTCTCTACAATAAATAAGAAATTAGCCGAGCGTGGTAGCACGCGCCTGTACTTCTGGCTACTTGGAAGGTTGAGGAGGAAGGATCCCTGGAGCTCAGCAGGTAGATGCTGGGGTGAGTGTGCCACTGCACTCCAGCCTGGATAACCAAGTGAGATTCCAACTCAAAAAAAAAAATGGTGTTAGAAGTCTGCTAGGGCCACTCCCTTTTCTTATGCTGGATGCCAACACGCATTCCCCCTGTCCTTACAGCACCATGAGGAAGCAGGGTGGTCTCTGGGCTGTGGAGGGGGTCACAGAGATCAGAGGGGCTGGCAGGTACACAGGTCCCATCCAGCTAGGGCTCTGGCGGGCAGCCCAAGGCTAGAAGCCCGGCTATGGAGGAGGACAGTCACACTCACCAAGTTTTGCTCACAGAGGCCCCGGAACTGCTGGAATTTCTGGGACATCAGTAGCTGGGCACTGCCCACAGCACTGAGGACTTTTCCTAAGACTGAGAAAGAGAAGGTGGGAAGAGCCTGCTTTAGCAGGGCACAGGCTTGCTGGGATGAAAGGTGGTACCCAGTTCACGGCTTCACCTCCCCAGTCCCCCTTTAAGACAGAAATCATTACTGGATGATGGCAACGGGTCTGTCTCATTGAGAAAAATGCAAACAACATGAATTGAACCCTGTTATACAGTTCCTAAAGACACTTGATAGCAATGAATAGGAAAATCGAGCTTAAATGGAAAAATTTCCAGGAAAATATAAATCACCCCCATGAACTCAAGAAGAAATAGAAAATCTGATTAGACTAGTAAGCATTTTTTAGAAATTGAAGCAGAAATCATAAGCTTCCTAGAAAAAGAAACCAGGTCTAGGTAGTTTCACAGGTTTTTTATAAAACCTCTAAGGAACAAAAACCCAGTCTTACATAGTCCAGCTGTTCCAGAGATCAAATAAGCATGGACAACGACACAACTTATTTTAGGAGTCCCAAGAGCAGACAGGACATGCCAAGAACAGACCACTTTTACATTCATGTTTATGAAAGTCTTGAGTAAAACACAAGCAAATAGGACCTAACAGAAGGGTTGTAACAAATAAACGTCCCAACCATGAAGTATTTAACCCAGGAATACAAGATTGACCTTTTAGTATGACTCCCAGGTTAACCTGCTGGCATAAAGACAATCTGACCCATCCCAAGTCCCCTCAGAACTCACAGAAAAGCAAAGTAAACAATCATTTGAAATGCACAGTGCTTCTGCTTTTTTTTTTTTTTTTTTTTAAGTTGGAGTCTTACTCTGCCACCCAGGCTGGAGTGCAGTGGCATGCTCATGGCCACAGCAGCCTTGACTTGCTGGGCTCAGGTGATCCTTCCATCTCAGCCTTCCAAGTAGCTGGAACCACAGGCATGCGTCACCATGCCTGGCTAATTTTTTGATTTATTATAAGAGATAAGGTCTTGCCATGTTCCCTAGGCCGGCCTTGAACCTGTGGGCTCAGGCAATTCTCTCACCTCCACCTCTCAAAGTGCTGAGATTACAGGCATGAGACATTGTGCCCAGCTAAATGTACACTGTTTCTGATAAGACACTGAAGCAGCTGGGCTCGGTGGCTCAGCCTATAATCC